AAATAAACAATATCCTCCATTTGGTGTGAAAATATGCTCAGATACTTGTCTGTGGACATTATCTGTTACGAGAAATGAACAGTTTTCCGAGAGCGTAGCTCAAGGAAAACTGTGAGCTTCGACAAACAGATGATGTCCATGGACGAATAGGAGAGCATACTTTTGCACCAAATGAAAGGTATTGTGTTTATTATTCTTCAAATGTTTTTCACAACACGCAGGGTTTTGACAATTGAGGAATATCACTTGGATGTTCCCCAGTTTTAGCTGGGGGATATTCAGTCATGTGATGCGCTTAGACCGATCACACGGAAGTGAAAATATTTGATGGATTATAATAAATGATATCCACCTAACAAACCACTATCCAGTGTTAAGTGTTGACAAACTAAACTACACTAACTGCTGGATAGTGATTTATGCGTTGGGTAGCATTTTCTAGCCTTTGAACAACTGGGGGGCAAAGGCAGAGAGGGGTGCTGCAAAAATAGTTTCTCAAGAGCAAATGCAATAACTGCAGTCTGTACTCAAACTCAGCCGAGCAACTTCATCCAGAATGTAACACAGTGGTGGAACTAACCATTGAACCATGATATTTAGATAAGATTAATAGAAAACACACACAAAAAAAATTATCAGAGTGTATCGAAGAAAAAATAACTCAAATAGAACCGCAGAAGGTGATCCTACGTCCTGGAGGAAATTGAAATCTCTGAACCAGTGTTAGCTTTAATAATAATCATATAACTTGACAGTCTTGCCAAGTTGTTGTGAAAAAATTGAGGTAGGAAAGGAATCGGGGCAACACAACAATATTTGTCATGCTTTTTAAATGTGTTAAAATGAAAATCTTGCAACACAAACCTTTGCCCTAGATCTCGAAAGTCCAACAGCTAGCGCCATCTTTGGTATGGATTCTCAAAGCATCCTGGGTAAGCTCAAGAGTTATTTGAAGCATGGACTGTTTTGAAGGACAGCCGCTGTCCACATATGTTAAATGAGACCGATATCGCCGATATGATGTCGCGGTGGTTCCGAAAATACACACGGAAAAACGAAATGACTGCCATAGGGAACAACATCCTTTCCGACCCGACCAGTGATGGGAATTTCTCCACAACAGACAACGATGTCGCGACAGAGCGACCCTCCAGTCCTGTGTACAGTTATGAAGAATTCGGTGATAGAATGAATCCTGTGAACAGTGACCAGAGCTTAACACAGACTTGTCCAACATGTGGAGGCACGGGCAGGCTCACGAAAGGTAGAGCTCATTTTATGCTGACTTTGATTAATTACGATCAGCGTGTGATATCTTCAAGTGAGCCAGTACTAGCTATTCTTGTTTGTGTAACAATGTAGAAACAATGACAATTTTAATGAAGTTACAACATTTAAATTAATTTCTTTCTCATTATAAAGATCATATTTTTCTCCGGTGACTATTATATTGACAGCTTGTAGATGTTATTTTTCGATTACCTTGTAGCTTGTCTTGTTCTGATAGCTAATTTGCTTAAGCTCATGTACTGCAAGTATCGATTTCAAAGAACACTGACACTCATCAAAATATTGCAAACCTGCCAATTCCTGTTGGAACTTGAAACCTGGAGACCAGAAGAGCTACATGCAAGCTGAGCTGCATGAAAAACGTGAAAATCCCAAATCCCGAAAAGAAAGAATGAAAAATGAAAGTTAACAGGGTCCAACTCCTGACCACTTGTCTGATTTTCTTCAAAATTATCTACGGTTGAGCCTCCAGTCATGGCTACACCCTCTTTCTTTTAAAAGGAAGATAAAATCGATCAAGACCTATGTCAGAGACATCAGTTTCCAAAAGGAATGCTCTGTAAATTATAATAAGAACCCTGAATTTAGGTATTTTTAAATTATTTGATTACTCTTTTTATCGTTATTGTATATATTATTTTAGCTTTATGACAATTGTATCGTAAATTTCTGTTTCTCTTATTTAGATTTAGTAGTAGTAGGTCCACATCAGCTGTACAGTTGCTTATTTCAAACCTACTTATCAAATAAAATAATAATAATAAAAAAAACATGACTCTTAAGGTGCATGGTTGAATTGTAAATTTGAGAGCTTGTGAAATGGTACGACTAATATTTTCTCCATGAGCCTGAGATTTTCTTACCCTTGCAAGAGAAAAGCAGAACAAAAACATATGAAACGATGAAACCTGTGAAATTTTGCTTAAATTCTGTGACAATGTGTATTTCAAAAGTCCAATCACTGCCTCTCTTTTTGTCTCATCCATGCTTGGATCCATATACATTAAATATTATCAAAACCTTCCTATATGACCATTTCTCTACAATGGCCAGTTAATAGACAAATTTCGATATACTAATATACAGCCTAAAACAATGGACCTCAGCACAAGGCTCTGGGGAATAACTATGGAGTTTGTGGGGTTTATTCCCCGGAGTTTCATGCTGAGGTCTATTGTTTTAGGCTGAATTTTAATACAGTAAAACCCGCATTCAAGAACCTAGTGGTTTAAGAACCTGCTGGCAGAAATTTGCCATTTTGATAGCCAGAAATATAAGAACCTGTTTAGCCAAGCAAGATCAAGCAGGTTTTAATATGTGGGTTACAGCTTATGATAAACATTTTAACCAAGGAGTGTGACTTTGAGATTGCAAATTTATATTACCAGAAAATACATTATACAGTTCTGAATAAATACTGTCTATTAGAGGACCAAATCTAAGTTTACATGTATGTATTTTTCTGGTAATCAACAACTATATCTCTGCCTATCTTGCCAGACTTCAAAAAATTTATTTATTTATTTTTTTAATGTAAATATAGATGTGGGCCGCCTAGATTAGCCCAGGCTACCTGCGGGTTTGCACTGTTGCTATTATCAAGCATTTTTAACTTAATCTGTATATCTATTTCTGTAAAAATTGTAAATATGTGAGTCATAGTAATAATAAAGTTGGTGTTGTTGTTGTAGGTTCTTACACTGGCCTTTGTAAAGAGGTTAAAATGTTTAATGTTTCAAGTAGATTTAGTCTCCTTCACAGTTGTTATTTGGGTCACACAACACTTTTCCTCACTAACTGCTGGTTAAGTCCAAACTGCATTCCTTTTCTTTTCTTTTGACTGCAACCACTTTGACAACTATAGGTAAAAAAGTGACAAATGCTGTTTGCCTAAATGTTGCAAGATCACTTACACTGTTCTTGAACTTGGTTGCCTGTTAGTACTGACTTATAGTATTGTTTTTCAATGTTAGTCTTCCAACGGATGTGTTTTCTTTGGGTAAAACTGTGTTTTATTTGATGTCTGATGAAGGGGTTTCATTAAGGGCTAGGCAACGGGCAAATTGACTGGCTGTGAGGTTGATTTTGCCTGCCTGGTTTGACCATCTAGAGGAAAGTTTTCTTATAAAGAACTTCACTTCAAAAACTTTTGCGCAGTTGTGAAAACCAGTTGCCCTCCTGTTGAAAACATTAATGAAACCCCAGCTGGTGTGCATCCAGTTCTAAAGGCATGGCTAAGCTGTCATTGGCTAAAAGGCGTAAAAGAAAGTACAGTAGTTCATGTTTAAGTAGTCTTTAGTGGGTAGAAGTGTTTTGTGATGACCTAAACAATGGCTGCAAAGGAAGCTACAGTAGATGTTGCAGTGAACCATTTGACATATTACTACATTTGAACCCTATTAAGTGGCCACCCTTGGGGAAATGGGAGGTGGCCGCTTAATAGGGGTTGGCCACTTAATAGAGGTTATTTTCTTAGTGAACATGGAGTTACTTAAAGACTACCATGATAAACTTGTGTTTGAATGTTTTAATCACTCGTCACCTTCTATTTCGGACTCTTACATGTATCTTCCATCACCTTTTCCAAAACAGAGGTAATTTATGTGTATTAAACTTTAGGTGGCCATTTAAAAGGGGTTAAGACAATAAAAAAAACCCCATCGGGATGACCAAAAGGTGGCCACAGCTGCTTAATTAGAGTTGGCTGGTTAATAGGGGTTTTATTTACAGTATTTCACTGACAATAATTTTGTGACTTTGATAACTGGCTGCTCATTGTGGGGTAGCCGCTTAATAGGTGGCCTCTTAATAGAGGTGCAACTGTAGTGTATAGGTGTTCAATTTGCAGATTGAAATATTTTTGCTGTGTTGGATGAACAGTTTGAAGAAAATGAACAACTTTTGTCATATGGCAGGCTCCACTTTTAAGTTCACAACAGTATGGTGCAAGCTAACCCTCCCTGCTGTCTGTTTGGCTTTGTGTCATGCATATTTCTGACACATGCAAAAACTG